CATTGTGATATGTATATTCGAGAAAGATCTAGACAAGACAGAAGATGTGGGCATTGTAGAAACCCAGGACACACTAGAAAAACATGTCAACTTCTACTGTTATCAAGTGACAATTGATGAGGAATTGATGCAGTTGTTTATCAAATAAGAATTCTTGTACTTTAATTTGCATTTACTTCAAGTTAATGTCATTCGATCTTATAATAAGTGACAAACTGAATAAAGTTATCGAACACTCGTATTAAATTTTATCATAACAATAACAATTTGGTATTTGAATATAATTTTAAATACAACAAACTTACAATAAGTATTAAATGGTAAATGATAAACAAATTACAATAACTGATATTAAATGGTAATAAACAAAATTAACCAAAATACGTTAACAAAAAGTCCAACAAATTTAACAAAATAAATTAAAATAAATCCAACCAAATTAATGGGCCCCTCAACTCTGTTGGGATCACCATCCTCACATCATCATTAGAATATGACACTCATTCAAACTAAAACAAATATATATAATTTTTATCAAAATAATAATCTAATTATACAACTATAATCTAAAATCGATTTTTAAACATTAAAAGGCATACCTGTGTGTTAGCCTTCTGATCGATTAATACCCTAATTTTTTTCTAAATCATTAGGTAGCTCCTGATGATTTTTCCTATAAGTAGACCACCTATTCAAGGAAAATAAAATTTATTATACAGTGTATAAAATGATTAATATACGAAATCAATTTTATAACTACCTCAAGAGTAACGGAAATGCGAATGAGTTCTTGACAACGAGACATAAAAAGGGCAATCAATACCATGCTCAAGACTGCAGCAGCAGGAGACATCCGCCGATAGCATTTTTCTTGTAGTCATTGGCTCGACACATCTCCCTGTACAGGAAAGCCAAAACTTTCGAGCCCCAACTGAGTGATCCGGCCAGACTAAAGTCGCCAAGATGTCGCAACCACATACAGTGAACTTGGTTGCGCGATTTGTCCATCATCAGCAACCCTCATATCAACTGTAGTATGCATGTCTGTGCATACATTTTAACTTCATCATTAGAGGTGTCATCGCTCAACTCCCGAAAATTGGCATCTAACCAATTTAACGGTATCCGACCACCGTTAAAACTTTTCGGGACACGTCTTAGATATTCCCGGCACAAAGTAATCCATGAACCGTGCTCCATCCCCGATATCACATCTCCATCCACCGGAAGCCCCAAGTGCATAGAAACATCCTCAAGTGTAATCGTGCACTCTCCGCGCGGAAGATGGAATGTGTGGGACTCCGGCATCCATCGCTCCACTAAGGCAAAATAAGGTATGGTTCTATCTTACAGTGACCCTCATATTTACCTATGTGACCGAATCCAGCCTCTACTAAATACGGCAAGACACGACTAGGTATCACTAACTTAAGGTTCCTAATAAAAGGATCTAATACATAGTCCCTCTCCTAAAATTAAATAATTACAAAAATTAATTTTTAAACTAATAATCATGCATTAAATATAAATAAATTATTACTAAAAATTTAGATTATATTAAAACATTAAAATGTTACCGTATCAGCAAAATGTCGCGATATATGATTTCCATCCAAGCGAAGTAGACCTCCTTCCATTTTATATCTGCAAAAAAATTAATTAAATAAAATATTAAAAAATTTAAATACTTAAATAAATTAAAAACAAAATATTAAATATAATAAAATATACCTTAAACAGTTAAAATAGAATATAAGAGTATTTGAGAGAAGTTAAGAGGATTGTTGTGATGAAAGTGATTGTGAATGGGGGTATTTATAGGGAGAGGGTGGGGTGTGAACGGCCGGGGGTAGGTGGGTAATTAAACCTAAGGCACGCCTTACTGGCGCTTGTCAGATTTAAAGGTAAAGCGCGACCCCTGCCCCGTGCTATACTCCATGTGACGCCAGATCAACGTAAAGCGTGTTGCAGGGGGCACGTCTTACTACAAAGGGTGTTAGATCGAAAAAAATAGTTTGAAGGGTGCCTGACAGGGAAATATAAAGTCAAAGGGTGATATATCGAGAAAAACGCCACGTATTAACACCAAGAGTTAAAAAAAAATATTGTCTTCAATCATTTAATAATTATATGTTAAAAGATTATATTTAAGAACTTAAAATATTTAATATCCAATTAATATAAGATTTAATTATACAAATCACATAATGATTAGATAATGCTTTTTCTCTGAGTATTTAAATATAAGATTAATAATATGAAAAACTACTTACATTTATATTTTGTCCACTTTTGGTCACTGATTTTAAAAAATATAAGATGTGGTCACTTTTATTTTTATTTAATTAAGATGTAGTCATCCGAGTTAACTGTCTTTAACATCAGTTAAATATTTTGATATAATTATACAGTTGGTCCCTTTTATTTACATATTCTCTCAATTTAGTCTTACTTTTAATAAATTAAAATAAATTTAATTATCTAATCGAATGATGTCACATGTCATGCCACGTAGGGGTGAGTGTTCGATCGAGTTGAGTCGAGTCGGATAAAAAATTTTGAGTTATTCGAGTTGACGAGTCCTATTTTACAACTCGGAGTGGACTTAGCATTTTTTCGAGTCGAGTCAAATTTTTGAGTTTCTGTTTAAATTTAATTATAAATCTTTATAATATTATGATATTATTTGATTCCAATTTAAATGATCTTTTATAACCATATACATTACATGTGTATTTGTTCATCTTTTTTCATATGTGATATACATTTATGATACAAAGTTGAGAGACTCAACTCAAACTTGAAAATCAATTCACTAATTACTAAATTTTTTGAGTTATTCGAGTTGTATTTTACAACTCGGTTTGAACTTGAAATTTGACTCGACTCGACTCGAAAAAATTTCAAGTCAACTCCGAGTTGTAAAATAGGACTCGTCATCTCAAATAATTCAAAAAGTTTGACTCGGCTCGATCGAACGCTCACCCCTACGTGGCATGACATGTGATATCATTCGATTGGAGGATTAAATTTATTTTAATTTATTAAAAGTATGACTAAATTGAGAGAATATGTAAATAACAGTGACCAAACGTATAATTATATCAAAATATTTAATTGCTGTTAATTACAGTTAACTCGGGGTGACCACATCTTAATTAAATAAAAACAAAAATGACCATATCTTCATTAAATGAAAGTGAAAGTGACCACATCTTATGTTTTTTTTTAAATCAGTGACCAAAATGGACAAAACATAAACGTAAGTGATTTTTCATGTAGTTAACCCTTAAATATATCTTTTAAACCTACGCTTATTGAGTAGTTGAAAACAAAGCACGATACACGTGTTGTTGCCATCATCTGGCTCATTCTCTTGCTAACACATGTCTTTGACATGTATTGCATATAGTTCTTTTTGTCAGAGATAAAACTGGTTTAATTTATCTCATTAGTTTTTAGGTTCTTCATTTTAATCCTTGATAATGTAATCTTAATCATGTATTATTTAAGGCCTCACAAATGTATACTTAATCAATGCGTATTTTTATGATTATATCATATGATTTGTCATAACTAATTAACAACTAACCATATCAAATAGGTCTATCTATCATTTTACCCTACAAATAGTTATTTTGGACTTATGCTCGACTCTAATACTAAGAACATATATACAAGTCACATCTCATGACTACAAAGGTTCTTAATTTTGAGGTTGTGGGATCGAGTTTCACGGAGGGCATTTCATAATTCGGAGATCTCCAACGGAAGCTGCTCTCAACCTAGTGTTGAGGGTAGCCTACTATTCTACCTCCCCTTACCCTATTACATATGATAATAAGGGTCAGCTAATTAAAAAGAGACGATTAAGGGGACAACAAAATTTTATATCCTCTTTGAATCTCATCTATTTCACACATCAAGACATCTCCTCTAGAGAGCCCTCGAAGAACATCTTCGGACGCGAGACACGAGACACCCAAAGCCTTATACTTCTTAAAAATTATAATTTTTTATTTGAACTTTAGGAAGTACCAAATAATTCATCAAAATTAATTGACAATTAACCGTATCAAGTATGTTTATCTACTTTATTAATATACATTAGATATCATGAATATATGTATAGTACTAACACTACAGATTATTATAAAATCTTTCGATTAAAACAAAGAAGAAGAAAAATCTAACATCTTATGTTTCATTTTTTCCGACACACGAATTTTTATAAGACTAATAGTTGTATAATTATCTTAGGGCATTTATTTTCATCAACCAATATCATTCTAATATTTAATAGTTAAAGACAGTATATTCTAGTACATTAGGTATAGTGTCCGGTATGGATATCACAATGATGATGAGTCATTCAGTTGTGTTGTGACAGTGATGAATAGGTAAGTACATAAAGAATCAGAGTTACGCAGATTTTTAACGAGAGATACAGGTATAACACAACTACTCTATATACGTGATTCGAAAAGTTTGTTGGGCCGCTCAATATTTACTAGTTCATTAGATCAGCATCAACCGTCCTCTCCATTTTACTATTCATTGATTGAGTAAATTCCTTCACGAAAAGACCAAAAGAATACGGGAAAATACTTATGACTTTGTACCTACTAAACTCACCTATGACGGTGAGCTTTGACATGAGCATCAAAAAGAAAACTAAAGAGAAACTTCGTGTCGACTTTTGAAGTTTTGAATTTAGCTAAGCAAAGGGAAGGAATGCATTACTGTTTATTGCAATACAAAATTAAAAATTCACACATTCACAAAGTGATCGCCGAAACATATAAATAATAAATTAATAACTTGGCTCTTAATTTTAACATTTTTGTTTTGTTTTGTTTTGTTGTCTTCCTTCGTGTTTCCTTCAAAAAGACTTTTATTGCATGCAGTCTTCAAACTAACCTTCATTAATAGTGCAAAAAGCAAAAGCTTAAGGATTGTGAAGAGAGAATGGTGGCAAAGGAGGCCATTTTCCGAACTTAGGATGGTGGTGGAAATACTTTGGAGGAATCTTGGGGAGAGGAGGAAGTTTAGGAAGGGGAGGGCATGGCTTCTTATGCAACGGTGGGATCTTGGGAATTGGAGGGTGCGGTTTTGTATAGATTGGAGTCGGAGGTTTCTTGTACACTGGAACTGGCGGAGGTAATGGTTTATTATATACAGGAACTGGAGGAGGATGTGGTTTCTTGTATATGGGGACTGGAGGAGATTTATTGACTGGAGGCTTGTAAGCTGGAACTGGAGGTGGATGTGGTTTCTTATAGATTGGAACTGGCGGAGGATGTGGCTTCTTGTATTTTGGAACTGGTGGAGGAAGTGGTTTTTCATATACTGGAACTGGCGGAGGTTTAGACACCGGAACCGACGGTGGAAGAGGTTTCTTGTAGATAGGAGAGAAGATCGGATGATGATGATGGAACCATTTTAACGGTGGAATGGGAAACGTGGGCAAAGGAGGATGGTTCCACTTTGGCAACGGAGGATGATGCCAAAAGGTGGCGGAAGCACAAGTTACAGGTGAGAACCTGAGCTTTCCTTTCAACCCGAAGTTGTGTTTCTCGTCACTACTGGACTTCAACACTATCTTGACCGACTCCATCCCATCATGGGAGGGGCAAGGTTCAGCCGACACACTATGAAGCTGCGCATAACATTCTTCCTTCAGTTCCCCATCTTTAACCATCTCCTCGGGCAGTGACACCTTAAAATTCCCATGTTTATCAAGCTCACCCGAGCCTCGTGTCTTGAAGTACTTCCCATTCTCTGGCTTGCAGTCTATGTTTACACGAAGCCCTGTAGACAGAAAACACAAATCACATAACACAAAGCCACAGGCAATATATATATATATATATATATACACACACTACATGCAATGCAATGCAAATGAATTGGTCATTGGCAGTACGTACCTGAAAATGCCTGGCTAGTCTCCAAGTTATTCTCCGCACAATCTGCACACTCACCAACCCCGACAACCTCGAGTGTTTTGCCACCCGCGTTGGAGAAACCGACAATAAACAAGTACAGAAAGAAGCACACAAGTGCGCCTCCTGGGACCGGGAGGATCTGCATTGGGAACCGAGCTTGTACGGTGTCCCTCCCTCACAAAACAGCTGATTAGAAAGTAAAAGCCAAATGAGCTTGAGTGATGGGAGGTTGAATTACGGAACTCTATTATATAATGATAAAGGAATTCAATTCAGTCCATTGGCTCACCGAACCCTCACTTAAAGGCCCTCACATGGTTTGAAAAAGAAATTTGCCACACCACACCTTCAAATTGAGCAGATGGCATTATCTGTTCATTCAATGAGATCTCAACTGCAACCAGCTAAACTTTGCTGTCTGTTTAAACCTACTTATTAATGTCTTTCATAAATATAATCTCTTCTTACAGATGAATTTTGGTTGAATTACAAGAATGGTCGTTAAAGAAATGAGAAGATCGATTTGTATCCATGCATTAGTCCATTGTAAGCTTTGTGAGAACCCCTTGGTTTTTATTTTATTTATTTTTTGCATTTAATAATATTAGGTGCAGTTCATCCATGGCTTCAAAATTTCCAGGTTTTGGAGCAAAAAAGCAAGAGACTTTAATTTGTAAGATATTTTCTTTTCTCTATCTAATACTTGGGACCATAACTAATAAACCATGTGACCTAGGGTCTAATGGTAGCTAATCTGTAAATCTACTTTTTGGCACTAATTAATAAAAATCCATAAATAGCATGCAACAATGCAACAAGTATACTTTTAATTATGCATTGGAAAAGAAAAAACTAGATTCTCAACACTTGTTTTCCAGAATTAGAGGTCTTCATCTCCTAAAAGGACTAGTGATATAGGATAATCACATGATTAAGAAAAAGAGATCAACAAACAGCATCACATCAAACAAATTAAACACATAAATGTTGAAAATATAGCTACAAGTCACATGGTAAACGTGGGGTCAAAGGCTACTAAATTTCAACAAATCAAACACTGTTTAACGTTTGGTGAGATGAATTGTGGATGATATCAGTTCACAAACCACAAATGAAAGCTATATGGTAATGCAAAATTCCAAATTATCCTTTAGGGAGAAAAAGGTATCAAAGAAATAATGTGTTTTTTTGACAAGGTGAATAGGCAAGAGCAAGTCCTTTAACTGGTAACCCCCCATAGGGCAATTTCTTGACTAATAGGATGACCAGCCTCCACATTCAAAGATAATAGGGTTCTGTCTGTATGCATGGGGTTTTAAGCTTTGTAATTTGTATAGAGACAGACGTGGCTGTAATGCCGCAAATTCAGGTAATAAGAATTGAAAACACGATTGAATTAAATTTTATGTACTGGTGATAATATTTAGGTTGAACGAAAAACAGACCAAAATACAAAATTTTAAGGTGAATTAAAGTTCTAAAAAATATCACGTGATCAGGAAATTTTCCTCAAATGAATTTAACCTTTAGCTTCGTCTAATTTTTTCTTCAAAAAGACGTGATTTCAACATCGTCATGAAAAATAAAGATGCAGTGGAAAATAAAACAAATTGAGGCTTCAGCTTCGTACCCTAAGTCTGAATCTCAAACTACTTGTGCCCTCAGTTAGAATTTTCCAGATGCCTAGCTTGAGTTTACAATAGCCCGACTTCGTATGAACATCCGATCTACTTCTTTTTCTTTGATTTGGAAGCTGACCGAGTGTAAGCAGTTCCCTGAAAATTAAGACGGCCAAAACAGGAAATATAACATTCTCAATATCAGGCTAGTGACCTAAAGGTGAATTTTGAAAGCATTGTGTTCAATTTCGAAATAAGTTAAAAGTTCAAAATTTTAATTGGAGAATTTTGAGGTTGGATTTAATAGTAAAGTTTGAAAGTAATAAGGGTATTATGGTCTTTTCTAAGAGAAGATTTTTATTTCTCTTTTAGGGGATATAAAAACGTGGGAAATGAGTTTCCAGAGTTTTCTTCTTCTCCTTTCTTCTTCACGCGTGGAAGCCAAGAGCAAATGTGAGAATTTTTATTAGTTGATTATTATTTGAATTCTAAGTTGGTTTTGATTCTTTGGAAAGTAAGAAAGCTTAAAGAAGTCTAAAGATAAGTAAAAACTCAAAGTTGAAGAGGTTAGAAGAGATTAAAGAAAATGGGTTTTTAAGTGAAATTTTGAATAAGAAGGTTTAAATGAATTTGGAGGATGAATTTGACTTGTCATCTATAAGAATAAGAAGTTAGAAGTGTTAGAATTAAGTTTGGATAACATGGAAAATTGGGTATGATTATTGATTTCCATATGAAAGATGGAATTTAGAGGTTAAAGATGAGATAAATGAATATTAATGAGTTTAAGTATGTATATGTAAGTTAGGAATATGAAAGGGGTTGAAATATGAAGGATTTAATCAAAAAAGAATGAATTTTCGGGTTCAAAAAGAGGATTCTGGGCAGAGTGCATCGATGCATATTCATAGTGCACCGATGCATCAAGGTTAAAACCCAGAAATTGTTTGAAGGTGTATCGATGCACAAGTAGTGCATCGATGCACTCTTTTAATCTAAAAACATCGAATGCAATTGGTGCATCGATGCATAAGGCATGCATCGATGCATCCCAGTAATAAACAAACATCGAATGTATTTTATGCACCGATGCACAGGTAGTGCATCGATGCACCGATAGGGAATGCATCGATGCACTGTGCAGTGCATCGATGCATACCTTCATTAAAAGATGAAATGGGCTTTTCTTTTAGCCTAAGAAGTGACAATTTAGAAGATATCAATTAGTATACTGATATGTATCAATGTATTATTATGATGTAGATATAAAATAAAGCTTGTTCCGGAACAATCTAAGGATTAAGATTGATTCAAAGCAAACAAGGCTCAAGTAAGTGCACATTATTTAGTATATGAGGTTCAATGGAAAATAAGACTTGCGATAAGTCTATTTCCAATAGTGAAAAACATGAATTCATAGAAGTATGTATTGGTTATGATTTATATGTGTGTATGAGTATATGTGTTATTGATATGAATATGGTAAGTAAAAGGGATTAATGGTGATGATAAGAATAATAATAAGGATAATGAAATGATAGGTATATGTGAATATATGTATTGATGTGTTTTTGTATGTATTGTAAGATGATATGTTTATGTGATAACATGATAAGATGACAATGATTTACATGTCATATGAACACATGAGAAATTTTATGAGCCATATGAAAGAGAAAGTATATGTGATACATGAGGGTGAATCCTATGTTTATATGAATATGAACTCATATGAGAATTGATATGAACTACGTGATTACATGTATATGTGAATGAAACCATGAGCTTATATGAATATATGATATGGTTACATGAATATGTAAAAGGATATAAAGATAATGCCCATGTTATGTGTCATGAGAGCTAGGGGTTATAGTTGGCATGCCAAGAGTCGAGGTCTATGTGCTTCGGGACATATGTATTCTTGGAACATGTGAGTCTGGTGAGACACATACTTGATCCTTGGCATATGTATATGATTCTTAAGGAATGATATGTGGTCCTTCGGGATATAAATGTATTCTTTGGAACATGTGTGAAGTCTGGTGAGTGTTCGCGTGTTGTGAGTACTATAAAATATACGCAAATAATGTGCAAGTATACACAATCGCTCAAGTAATATAATGATGAGTGAGTATCGTCTCCATAGGGATTGGGTGAAATTACGAAAGTCTAACCAAAGCAACGCACTAAATTATCTAAGTATAGTTAGTCTTGATATATACAAATGTCACGGTAATGGAAATGTGTATGCTGGTGAATGTGGATTGATGGTGTGATGGTGTAGCAAATGGAAATGCAGTGGCAATGATGGATGTTTAATATTGAGTATGGTGAAATGTTGAGGCAATGAGAAATGGTAAAAACAGTAAATAAAAAGATAAATAAAATAAGAAGAAAATAATCCTCACGTGACAAGCTTCCAATGAAATGAATGGTAAGGATTGGTCTAAGGTTGCTAAACTTATTTCTCAAGTATATTTAAGCTATCTTGTCTTTACTTACTCGACAGGGCTTTCCTAAGGTGTTCAAAAGAACCTAACAGAATAGGATGCCAAGGCATCTGCTCTCACTCAACGATGTTGGACAGCCTACCCTATTGATGAAGACACCCTTTTAAGTCGTTGAAATCCTAACCTAGTCTCTTCCGAGATCTAAGGGATTAAGTTATAATATTCCTAGGCCGGTTCAAAGCCCCTTGAAAATACCATAACCCATTGCTTATGAGGATCTTATCTTGTGTTTCTTCCGAATACTTACAAGTATTTTTAGTTTAGGATTCTTCCGAATAGCTAACCTTCATCTAAGAGATGAACATTTTCATGCCTCTTACAAGCCTAGATGGTGAAGCATTCATAAGCAAAGCAAAAAAAGAACCAAAATAAACTTAAATATACCATTAAAAATAAAGTTTAAACAACCATTCAACCAACCACCACCAAATAAGTTAGTTCATGGTGGGGTTCGAAATATCCAAACACAAAGTCATGAAAATTAGTTCCAATAACCCACAAAATAATATAAAGAAATAGCAGCAAAAAGGGAAGTGAGAAGAAGCCTTTGACGCTCCACCGGAGGTCTCCTCTCGGCCACCACGAACCACCTAGCTTGCTAGCTCCTTTCAGCGCCTAGCTTGCCACTCCTTGGAGCTTTATCAATGGAGGAATATCCCAAGGAAGAAGAAAGGAAAAAAAGAAAATAAAAATGTGATTTTTCTGCTCTATACGTATGATCTTCGTCTTCTCCTCTCTCTCCCATGAGGTGTTATATATGATAAATAAAATATCTAGGGGTAATGATGAGTTTGTTGGGTGCAAAATACCCCTCATACCCCTAGAATCATATTTTGTGCATGAATCTTATCCTCCAAGTGGCAGTGGTCCATTGGTAGCTCTGGCAGGCGGTTACAGCAGTCCTCCACGTGCAGGGACAGCTGTCCAGTGCCAGCTGTCCTGATGCAGAAATATCTTTTTGTCTTTTTCTGCGCCAGAAATGCCAAGGCATTTCAATCTGCTCTAGCAACGTGTGATGCCGCGGCATTACTTCCCAAAGAATCATGTTTCTTGCTATTCCCTGCACACCATAGACAAACTGCAC